TCATCCAGATGTTTCTTCCAGCAGATGTTCACCCCTCCTGCCTCAAACCTGCTTGAAGCCGCCGCTTGATCCTACAGGCAGCCATATACAGGGTGTTTTTTACTCTTGTTTTTTTATAGCCGGGGTATTTCATCTTGGTCTGAAGGGGCTGACGTTGTGCAGGTTTTTAGAAATCCTGATTCCCATCACAGCGCACCACTAGCAGAGCTTTTGAATGGAATCATTAGAATCAAGTGTTTTCGAAGCAGGGAAACATCTAAATCCTGCCGGACGGCAGCCCTGGACACTTGTTTTATACGGTGTCCATTTCAACCGGGCAGCACAGCAGAGGTCAATCAGCTCCTTTCCTTCCTGAGGAGCATTTACTTTCTAACAAGAAGCAGAAGCTTTGTCCCGAATGTGGCCACAAGGCACACTGAGTGGTCAAAATGGTTCAAATAGACGCACAGTGCTGTTTGTTTCTCTTGTTGCTGTTTGTTCTGGCTGCTGGAAGCTGAGTCTGAGTGTTGTTGGCGCCAATGCTTCTGCACAATCTCTGGCAGCCTTCTGACTTAAAGGTGTTGAGCTGAAGCCAAGTCTCTTCAGGGGTGTGTCAGAGGGCAACGCTGTGGTGAGCCGGTGATTCAGAACCATTCAGACACATGTGCCATCTGTGTCGGGATCACAGGGCAGAGCTCATCCCGCTGGCATGCCATTACTGTAACAAAATGTTCTGACTTTCAAGATTCCCACCCAAGTCCCTGAGATTTAAAAAAAAATCTCTGTCTCCACCTTTACCTCCGTTTACCAATAAGTGCCAAATAAAACCCCCTTTTTATTGATTAATTCTTTAAAATTGATTTATTTTTACATCTCTCTTGTATAATGCATTTGTGTTATTGCTATGTGTGATTATCTGCAGTATTTATGAAGGAGGTATCGTAGTTTTTTGGGCTGTGGAACAAATTATATGAATTACAGTGTATTCTCATGGGAATATTTGAACCAACAAACCAATATTCTAACCCAGAACGAATTAAATTTGTATGTAGAGGTTCACAGACGAGTGGAAATGCAGAAGTTGTCCTGCAGCTCTGCCCCCCCCCCCCTCCTGTGCCAGTTTGCCCTTTGGCTGTTGTAGCAGGGCGTGGTGCAGAGGATTAGACTCACGGAAGGGTGGAGGTCAGCGAGCATGGCATACTCTCACAGGGATGAGAAGTGCTGCCGGTGCTTGTCGGTGAGGCTGCAGTGTCATGAAAGTGGTTGAGGGAATGGTCGGCCCACTGTGACTGTGCTGCCAGTCAGGCCTCCCAGCAGGAGTAATTCTCCCCTGGGCTCTGTCCCAACCTGTTCTGCCAAGACCGAACTATCCTGCGTGTTTTTTTGTTTTAATCAACTTTAATTTGCTTCAGAGAGACAGAAAAACATTCAGCTCTGCCTAAATTGATCTTAACCTATTCATTTAGGATACTTGCAAACCAAATTTTTCGTAAAAATATTCGCCAGAGCTGCACTCAAGGAGCATTTCTGCCTCTTCCTTAGTCATTTGGGGGTGTGGCAGCTCTTCTTCATCTGTGAAAATTCCCCTCTGGCTCTGTGGACTCGGTGCTTTAACACTCCCATACAGTTACTGTTATAGAACAATGTCATTTGTGTTTATGACCAAAAACTAAAGGAGTAGTTAAACAGAATGCTGATGTTAGCGCCACTCCTTTAATCGAGGAAATTTACAGAGGCTTCGATGATTAAGAGCTTCTTTTGCACAATGGCTCATTAAAAAAGGAAGAAAAATTCCTGTCAAGCTGTATATTTAAAAAACAAAAAGTAAAAGAACAATATTAATTTTCTCTGCACAGTTCAGCCAAAACATGACACATCCTTTATTTTCCCACAGTGACACATTTTGTGAGAGCAGTTTTGAACCTTTTACTGAGCTGCCTGATGGAGGGCTGTATAAGTTTGCTTATTTAAGAAGAGCAGCCTAAAAACGCACGGGCAGCGCTGCCCAAGCTCTGATTAAAATAAAGGAAATAACACACACAGAAATCAGGAACTTTTAGCTGAAAACAAAGGATTACGAAGTAAAAAGGTGGAGCTTATTTTTAAACAGCCCTTTGGGACAGCCAGGTAATTTGGGGTATTTCTGAGCAGAGTTCTGACTTCATCCCGGTACAGGTTTCTTCAGTTTATAACAACCACGTTGGGACTTTTGGGCACTTAAAGGCTCCTGTGGATCTGAGAGTTCTTCGTGACCCCTCAATGTCTGCAGGGTTATTTCCACCCCAAAAAGTGGATCCATAACATAAACGGAGGGATAGATGCAGAACACATGGGTGTGGCTTCCATTTACCTGCATGCAAAACGTATGGTCGAGTTATGTGTACAACATGAAAAGGGCACAACATACACGGTTCATTATTTAAATGATTGTTCCTCCTGCCAAGTTTCAGTAGAGTAATCTCAGCCTCGGTTCTCACATGGATAATGATGGGAGCATTCCTCTGCGTGTGCTGACTGGAAAGCTCAAAGCGCTCGCGATCGCATCATGTCACAGCCAATAGGCTCCTGCAGATTTGTGGGTGCCTTCAAGGAAAAGAGAAGCTTTTTGAAAAGGTTAAGAAATGTCACGGGCCAGGTTTTGGTGTTTTAACAAATCCCTGACATTTACATAATTGCCCGATTTTGTTCTTGATAAACAACTTGCAGCTATATGCTCAATCCAGTGCAAACGCTTTGCTAACCCTAACCAAAAATACATCAACTTAAAGTTCAAACTCCTTCTGACAACTCTCAGTAAAAGTTTAAGGAACTGAGGTCCTGGTTTGGGCAGCATGGTGGTGTGGAGGTTAGCACCGTCTCCTTAAAGCCAGGGGATTCTGGGTTTGAGTCCCTGGGGAAACCAAGACCTTTCTGTGAGGAGTTTGCATGTTTTCCCTCTATCTCTGTGGGTTCCACCATTCAAAAACCTGCATGTTAGGTTAATTGGACACTGCAAATTGCCTCCAGAGTGTGTGGTTGGTTGTCTCTGTGTGGTCCTGTGAGGAACTGGTGACCTGTCAGCTCGGATGGGCTCCAGGCCCCCATGACCTCGTTGGAAACAAGCAGTTGGTTGGGTTTCTTATCATATTTTCCCGGTTGTATTGCAGCTTCTGCACTCTGAGAAAAACAGGCCATCAGAGTCTTAGTTAACCTAACACACACGTTTTCGGCTATACGACTTGGGGTCGTCCACACCTCAGCTATCACCAAAGGACCATTAGCTGCCGCTTTACAGGCATCAATACATTTTCTGATGCACATTTACTTGAAAAAATGTCCGTTCAATCTTTGTTTTTCTTCTTGTTATTGCATTTTTGAATGTGCAGAACGTTGAAAGTGAGAGTAAAGCTCTGGTATTTTCATCTAGGGTGTGACTCAGTTGTGCCCTGCAGCTCACTCAGATGCCGCTACGGTTCAGCATCTGGGAGACTTCTAAATCTCCGAGCTTGCAAGATGGCTGCAAACAAGCACTGACAGTTCCAGTTTTGTCAGAACAAGACCTGTGAAAGCTGTACCCCAACTGCTTCCTTTTGCTGCGAGCTCCTCTTAAATGAAATCATCTGGTTTACCAAAAGGGCTTTTTTTGAAGGGTTCAAAGCGGCGCAACGTGGACCCATACCGAAGCAACCAAATGTCATTAATGGATCATCATATCAAATGTGTCTAAAGGGTAGAAGATGGTATGCAAAAGGCCCGGAGCAACCACCGCATGCAGGCCTGAACACATAAATCACAGGGCGGATAAAAAGAAAAAGGGCAGCTTTGACATTTCAGATACACTCGTCTCATCATTCTCCACACCTTCTTGTTCTTTTGTAGGAAAATCTGCGGCATTCATTTAGGAGGGAAATGTGTGCTCTTTAAATGATCATTGTTGTGTAACCTTCTGCGGTGCACTGGGTGAGCACGGAGCTGCCTGCAGGGATCCTGCTGCAGAACCAGTTTTCACCTCAAGCTACGGCCTCATTAATCTAACCGCTGTCACGGAGAAACGTTCTGAGAATAAAATGAAGTTTCTCCTTTACAAACAGATTATTCCAAGCTATAGCTGCTTAACTGAGAAAATAAATTAGTCAAAAAACCTCCAGATTTTCAAAATGAGCCGTTCCTGTGCAGCCGCTTCGTCCCTCTGACAAAAGGCTGCTTTCCCCCTTAATGCCTTGTGGTGTTTGGGTTGATCTTCTCTGGTTTTGACGTGCATCTTTGAGGCTTTGACCGCTTTATTACAGTAAAGGTTTCTGCATATGCTCTTCGAAAGCTTTAGGAACAGTAAGCAGGGGAAGAAAACAGGAGCAGCACTTCCATCCGTCCAAAAAGTTACAAAAATGTTTTACAGAAACATCAAACTCTTAATTCATGGGGGTGTTTAGGGGCCTAATTTCCAATCCTGTAATCGTGTAGCTTTGTGTATTTAAGTTGCACCATGTGCATGTCGTCCCTCAGCATTTCTTTTCTAAATATCAACCTGACAGCTCCTAACCCAACCAGCAACACCCTCTCTGTAGTACGAATCCACAATCCCCTTTCCTTGTTATGTATTTTTCCTGATATCACATTTATGGCACAAATGTGGTGAGGTGCAACTATTCCAAACAGCTTTTAAGTGTAATAATTTCACCACTTTTTTGACTACTTAGCATTTAAAGGGTAAAGTAAAGGCAAACGTAGGCTTTCATAGCGCAGAAAGTGTGTAGTTTTACGATGAAGTGCTGCACGTTGTGCTATGGAACTAAACAAATCCACATTTTGACGTCCAAGTGTGCAGTTACGCTTGATCTAACTTTATTTTAGTCATTGAGAAACTTTTCACATTGGGGTATTTTAAATCTTGATGGCAAAATAGGGACAGCCCAAATCAGGTCCTGTGTCAGTCCCAAAATGATGAATGAATATTCCTATTGTGGTTTGTGGAGAAATTTGTGCTTCTATGCACAATTGTACAATGCATGATCACGACCCTGAAAAATCGAGCTCTTTTAGGAATGATAAAATGTTTCAGTGGGGACGAACTGTCGCTCCCCACCTTCCTGCACCTCCTAAAAAGCCCCCCGGCTAATCAGGTAGAGTGGTCTGACTTCAAGTGCCTCTCCTCTGGCCTTTGGCAGCCATTCCTTTGCAAGCATCTGGGTGTGTCGAGAACGGCTCGCTTTACAGGGGCGGCACAGTTTCCCGTTCGACAGGCTGAGCTGCTCCTAGCCCATCTACCTGGCAGTGATCGCACCCCCACCAGGATCCAGGTAATTGGATGAGAGCTGGGGAGGAGGCTGGGCTTGCTGGGAGGTCCTCCGGGTGGGAGGCAGATAAAAGGCCAGTGTGGACATACACTCGGTACTTAGAGGGACTTGGCTCTCCTCTTAGTGTGCTCTTTGCTCTGCCAAACCTCACTCTGTCTCTGCACCCCCTTCTCTCTGCAAACCCCTCTTTCCCAGAACTAACCACAGCAGCCATGTCGACCAGGACCGTCAGCATGAAGTCCGTCAGAACCAGCTATGGAAGCGGCGGCGGTGGCGGCTTCGGCGGTAGCAGCCGCATGTCTGTTGGAGGAGGAGGAGGAGGAGGATTTTCCTCCAGGTCTGCCGTCACAATCAGGCCATCATACGCCATGTCCACCTCCAGCATGGCCGGGGGCTCAATGCTCAGGTCAAGCATGGGTGGTGGTGGAGGCTTTGGCGGCGGCTCTGGGTTCGGCGGCGGCGCCGGGTTCGGTGGCGGCTCTGGCTTCGGCGGTGGCGCCGGGTTCGGCGGCGGTGCAGGGTTCGGCGGCGGTGCCGGGTTCGGCGGCGGCTTCGGTGGTGGAGCAGGAGGAATGGCCATAGCTCCCATCGCAAACGTCCAGGTCAACCAGAGCCTGCTGGCCCCCCTGAACCTTGAAATCGACCCCAACATCCAGACCGTCCGCACCCAGGAGAAGGAGCAGATCAAGACCCTCAACAACCGCTTCGCCAGCTTCATTGACAAGGTGAGCGTCCCTTTTCTCCTCCTCATCAATAAGTCAAAGAGGTTCGGGCTGCAGACGGGGGAAATGCCTATTAATAATTTATCTCCAGCCAATCCAGACCAGAGAGGCAACTCTGAAAACCGGTGTGGTTCAAATGCTTTTTGGAGACGTGCTCCCTCTCAGGGAGATGCCCCGTCGGCTCCTTTCAGCCTCAGTGGCCTCATGCCAGCTTAGGGGAAACATTAGAACGGTGGTATCCAGTGACAGGAAGGGGAGATCAGGTTATGGCCTGTTACCATGGCAGCATGCGCTGCTGCAGGAAGCTGCCTTCTAAAAGTGCTCCTGAATGAGGCCGAATGAATTCTTTGCATCCACTCCTGTCTGGCCCACAGTGACGGGTTAATTAATGACCACTTTCCTCTAGTCAGCCGTCCGCACTTTGGTGAAAAAGCTGGTGACGGAGGGATTTTCTCAAGCTGAAAACTCCACCACGCCCCGCATGAGAAAGTGCTCACTCAACATTTTCTGCTGTGTACACGCCACACCTTGGCTGTCTTCGCACAGGCCGCCCGACCCTTCACGCCCTCTCACTTTGAAACAGATTGATAAGTAGTTAGCCTTTACACAAACGCTTCATTATAAAGGATGAAGCACTCATTCTTGCCTTCAGGCACAGCGGCAGGCAAGTTCGCTCAGTGAAAGTATGCATCCTTGAGGCGAAGGAGCAACTATGTCAGGTGTTCGGGGGGCGAGGCGCAGATGAGGCGTGGCACTTTGCACATTCTCGCACCTTAAAGTGACTTCAAATCAGCCTCCGGCGCTCTCTGGATTTGAGCCCTTGATGTCAGAGAACCCCCTTTTAAACGGGGAATATCGGTCAAGTTAACCTCACGCAAACATGCACTGGTACATTTCTCAAAGTTCGTAGTGCGTCCCCGCCCTGAGGGGCTCATATATGCAGCAGCTCGCCATATTTTGTACACAGGAGCTTTTTGTGAGGGTTAGTCACACATAGGTGTGGCTCAAAGGATGAGCTGAAGAAAAGCAAACATCAATGAGGCCTCACCACACGGGCGAGAAGGATCATTGAACATGTATTTGTCTATTCTTTTTTTTTTTAAATCCGAACATTATCCACTAAATATTTCATGCTAATGCAAATGCTTTCAAAGTAATACATCTTCCCTGGTAGCTGCAGTTCTAAACATCTGGCATCTGTCTTCCTTTAGGTCCGCTTCCTGGAACAGCAGAACAAAATGCTGGAGACCAAATGGAACCTGCTGCAGGACCAGACCACCACCCGCTCCAACATCGACGGCATGTTCGAGGCCTACATCGCCAACCTGCGCAGGCAGCTGGACGGGCTCGGCAATGAGAAGGTCAAGCTGGAGGGGGAGCTGAAGAACATGCAGGGCCTGGTGGAGGACTTCAAGAACAAGTGAGTTCAGGAGCGCTGTGTCTCTGCACACCAGAGCTAACAGTTGACATCTTTTCCGACCACTTATCTCTCCTCTCGCCACCAGATATGAGGACGAGATCAACAAGCGTGCCTCCGTGGAGAATGAGTTTGTGCTCCTCAAGAAGGTAAGCCTCAACGAATGGTGCAAGGAATCAATAATCTCCCTGAAGTCTTTCGCAAAGTCAAACTATTTTCCATTTTTCAGGATGTTGATGGAGCCTACATGAATAAGGTGGAGCTGGAGGCCAAGGTTGATGCCCTTCAGGATGAGATTAACTTCCTCAGAGCCGTCTACGAAGCTGTAAGGAAACCAGAGGATCAGAGTTTCTGCTTGTCTTATCTTTAAATTATTGTTTCTGAAGTTAAAAAATGAGATTTGTGTTGTGTGCAGGAACTGCGTGAGCTTCAGGGACAGATCAAAGACACATCGGTCATCGTGGAGATGGACAACAGCCGCAACCTGGACATGGACTCCATCGTGGCAGAAGTCAGGGCTCAGTATGAGGAGATTGCCAACAACAGCCGGGCAGAGGCAGAGAAGTGGTACCAGCAGAAGGTAAGCCGAAACTCTGCAAAGCTCAACGTGATTAAAGTCCAGAGAATATTCGATAAAAGTTATTTGATGATTCGTCCCACTTCAGTTCCAGGAGATGCAGACCAGTGCATCACAGGCTGGGGACGACCTCCGCAACACCAAGTCAGAGATTGCAGAGCTCAATCGTATGATTAGCCGCCTCCAGAATGAGATTGAGTCAGTCAAAGGACAGGTAAAGTCCAATGCTTTGAATCCGGTTTCTATTAAATCTAAAAGCTAAAAGGCTTGTGCCCAAAATGTCAAACATGGAGCTTAAACCAGCTTTTCAACCAACCAGCGCGCCAACCTGGAGGCGCAGATCGCCGAGGCTGAGGAGCGCGGGGAGCTGGCAGTGAAGGACGCCAAGGCTCGCATCAGGGACCTGGAGGAGGCCCTGCAGAGAGCCAAGCAGGACATGGCCCGCCAGGTCCGGGAGTACCAGGAGCTCATGAACGTCAAGCTGGCCCTGGACATCGAGATCGCCACCTACAAGAAGCTCCTGGAAGGAGAAGAATCCAGGTAAAAAATCGGCTAACCTCTAACATTACAGTCATGGTTTCCTTGGTGGCATCAAATTGGACAATTTAAAATGTTTCTAAACCTTTTTGCAGAATCGCCTCCGGTGGTGGAAGCGCTACCATTCATGTGCAGTCCTCCAGCAGCAGCATGGGTAAGAACAAACATTTGCAAAGACTTAAAAGTCAGTCAGAGTTGACTGTAGCTCACTAACAATGTTTTCCTATCATCATCAGGCGGCGGCTCAGGAGGCGGCAGCGGCTATGGTGGCGGCATGGGCGGCGGCATGGGCGGCGGCATGGGCGGCGGCTTCGGCGGCGGAATGGGCGGCGGCTATGGCGGCGGCTACAGCAGTGGTATGGGTGGAGGATACGGCGGCGGCATGAGCTCGATGAGCATGGGCGGGGGCAGCATCAAAAGCAGCAGCAGCACCATGGTCTCCTCCCGCCGCTATTAAAAGCATCAGCAGTCCGTCTCTACCTTCTTCTTCTTCTTCTTGTCCTTTACCATAAAAGCTTCCAGAAAAACCCTGCCACCATTTTCCCTCTCAGGCCCAGAGCAGTCTGAAGAGCACTCGGTCTTTTACAGCTTGTAGAGTCAGAGATAACATCGAGTTACAAGCACAGATTTTGTTTGTCAGAGCAAAAGAGCCACAGAGGTGTGACTCTGTAGATTCATCCCTCAATCAGTCAGCCTGGCTGTCTTTTGGTTGCTCCATGTCCTGTTGTTCAGACAATACTTGTAGTGTTACAACAGAGCAACAGCAAGAGCAACAAACACTGCAGATAAAATGACAAGTAGCCGTTTGTAACAGAAAGAGTGGATGTTCTTTAGCCATGAATTTGGCACTCAGTTTTTTCCCTGACTGCTCTTTCTATGCAATAACGGTTCTGTTTTGAGGCTTTTTTCATCACTGTTATGCAGTTTGACATCGTTAAAAGCAGCCACATATGCCACACATTTTGTTTTTAGGATCGTCTTTTCTTTTCATCTGTTTTGAAAGAAAATGAGCTCTCCGGTACATGGTGGTTTGATCACGTTTTACCTGCAGTTTAACTTCAGAAAGGCTGACTGGTAATACCAGATTTATCATGAACTGTACCATCCAAACATCTGGAATAAATCTGTGTTCACACAATTCACTTGATATCATGTCATGTTTTTCCTGTCAAATGTTTTTAATAATTCATTGGTTAAAAATCTCAAATAGGCTACGTTTGTAGGTTTAACTTTAGAGACAGTGAAGTTCTAATTACATATATAAAAGCAAAGAAGTAGGTTTTAAAACTAACCAGTTTTGTTAGCTTCACAAGCTAATCTGAAAAGCTAACTTTTGTTAGCGTTACCTCGTCACCAAACAACTGATTTGTTTTAAAACTAGAATTTGGGGAAATAAATGTCTTAAATATTTGCACAGTCACATAAATTGTGATGTTTATACCTCCTTGGTTTGATCAAGTCGGTGACTAAACTCTTAAAACCCTGTTTAACAGTACAGCAAACATATACCTGCTTTACATATCTTCTTTAATTACATTTTGCTGAATAATTCTTATTAGCAATATTTAAAATGTCAACCACAATTTACTTTAAAAAAGCAGGATTTTAGGATATTATGTTATGATGTTGGCTAGCTAAGCATGCATGCTAATGATTGTGGCTTACTTACTTTCCAGAGCTTATTGTATGTTCAAATTCTAGATGTTTACTTCTTTATCTCCTGCAAACTACACTTAAATACAACTTACCCTCATGTTTTAATTTTTCTGTACTTAAAAAAGTCATACTTTGAATGTACAGTGGCACAAAAATGCCATTTGCATTAGCAGGAAATGTTATTTGAGATAAGGTAAAAGTTTATCCAAAAAGAAATGCGTGCACAAGCTGAGCAAAAGCTATTTCTTTTACTTTAGACTTGAGAAAATGGAAAATTACGGTAGCTGCTGGCGACCGCAGAGTGCAGAAATTTCCGGCTTTTAAAGTATTGTAGCCATGCCCCATATATGACTAAGTGGAGGCCAGTTTGCCAAAAGTTTGACTAAGTACACCTGAATGCAACATGCCCGAGCAGAAACATACAAAAGAGCTCATGGGGGTGTGTTGGAGAGTTGGCACCACAGGTTTCTGCATCGTTGGCATTTCCACGACTTTGAACAGTCTCACCAGCTCCTGCATGAAGAAAGGCTGCTTTGATTTATTTGACAGCTGTTTATTTCTTAATAAATTTATTTGTTAGGAAAAAGTGAACATAGGTGTGGCCTGACCTGTGAGTACAACATAGAAGGAAACACCTTGCCATCTACAATGGCCCCAGAGCAGTGATCAATACCTTTTGTTTAAATCTTTTACAAGATAGGTGTGGCCTGAGAACTAACGACAGCTTGTTGTCCTCTGCCAAGTTGTCATGGCTGATTATTACAAGGATTGTGCTTTAACCACAAAGCTTCTATCTATCTGTGCCGATCTACTTGCTGCTGCCATGATTTCTTGGACTACAATTGAAGCGAAACTGGCTTAAGAGTTGGAATGCAGTAACCCTGAGAGAAATCTGACTTGTGTGTGCATTTGTGGTGTGTAACAGCACTGGAATAAAAGAGAAGACATTTCATTCTGATTAAGCCCTGCACATGCACAGCTACACATTTGCTTTTTTGGAACTCAAATACATAAAAAACAAGCATCACGTAAAACATGATTCCAAAACGGTGCATACAAAGCTCTTTAAAAACTCAACTGTTAATATCTCAACATTTCTGTGTGATAATGACATTTCAAACCCCAAAAGGTTTTTAAAAAATTGTATGCTTGTTGGGCTACAATTTTGTTTAAAATAAGGCTTCATTTATTAATTAACTTTATTTATGAAGTTGAGTGTATTTGTATGACCAGATGCAGTTTTGAAGGAGCATTTCAGTGTAAGCTGACAGATGTAAGGGATTTGCAAGACTGAAAGCCCTTATTTGGACAGAGTTTAAAAGAGCACCAAGGACTAACAACAGATTAATAAACGACTGGAAGAGAGAGACCCCTGGTGGCTGTGGCCTAAGATGACTGATGGGACACAAGCAGGGCTGGATCTCTGCCTGGGTCACCTGAACAAGGGGGTATAATGTCATAAAACCCGAAATCCCCCCAAAAATATCTTGGATAAGTGTCTTGTTTACAATCTTTTGTTTGTAGACAAAGAGTCAGTGTTGTGTGTTAGGGTAGGTACCAATCAGAGAGGAGAAGAGGATGTTGTGCCACTACTTGAAAATCTTTTTGCAGGTTTGTCCAGGCTTGTCTAACTGGGAGCAGGTACTGGGAAAGACCCAGAAGTTGGAAGGATTGTACACACATCCCATCCCGTGCTTGGATTAACTGTTCTCTGGGAAACCGTGGTTTGTCGGCCAAGTTTCTGTGTCTCTGATTCAATCATTTAGAATTAAAGTCGGCGGGACTATTTAGTCAGTCGTGTTGTTATATTTTAGTTTTAACATCAGGGTTTCATTGGTGCTCAGGATTGTAAGTACTCCCGATAATTTTATATACCAACCAGCTTCATATTGACGAGGAAAATAATTGAACTACTTTGACTTAAGAAAATAAGCCTTAAATCAATAATAACCCTAAGGAAACGTTATGGAAAAATATATCTACCTGGTTTTGAATTATTTTACTATGCTGCCCTCTAGTGGCTGGATGCCAAAATGATCATGTCCAACACCTCCAGCCTGTGTATAATCCAAGTTTCTGAGCAATTATGGATTTGAAGTCTTTCAGTGAATACCAGTAGGGAAAAACAGGAGTAAAAAGTCATATTTTCATTAAAAACATCAAGAGTTTCCACAGTCTCTGCTTTTATTAACAACCTTTGTCAATTTGAAAAAACAAATGACAGAATGGAGCAACATTTAAGGTATAAAGGTGGAAATAAAAATGAAAAACATATTAGGAATATATCACACGACAAACAATGGCAATGAAATGGTCGTAAGAATTCAAGTCACCTCCCCAAATTGATTAATCTGTTTTACTCTATTTAGAGCAGCAATCAATACAACAAATCCCTGTTAGGCAAAGCCCTACAGTTTGATTTAATGACCTAGATTTAACCTCACACACAAATAGCGTCTAAATGGCGGTCTTGCATGGATTGTCGGGGTCGAAGGTCATGATCTCCATGTGGATGAGACCTGATTGGATACACACACCATTAAAAAACGCGCTGAAAAACACTCATCACAGTAATGAACTCACTGTTGTGTGCACCCATACTCACTTTTCCACTCGCCAATGGCCAGCTCCAGGCTTTCGAACGAGTCGTCGTAAGGCTTGGAGTCCGGCTCGCTCTCCGGGTCGTGGTACTCGGCCAGGAAGGGCTGGGTCAGGCCCTGCTGAGCGGTCAGCCTCAGCTCCGGATCCAGCAGCAGCATCCCCTCCAAGAGCTTTACAGCTGGAGGCGTGAAGGGGAAAGCCAGCTCAGCTTTTACAAACAACTTACACCGCTGGGCCAAAACGGGTCGCACACTCTCTCAATAAAGAGCTTAACAACATTTGGTTTGGTTATTCTTTTCAACAATATTCTGGGGACACTGGGACAGTGTAAAGTTTGCAAATCGTCTTCTCCAGGGATGGATTTATTTCTGTTTCTCCTCTTTATTTCTCTCACCCTGTGAGTTGTTTCATGTTTTTTTTCAGCCTCGTAATTAGATTCATTAGATTAAGTCAACCTTTCTAAAACAGATAGAAGCTCCATATGTGTTATATGTGTTTTTAAAGTATTGTGGAATTTAGCATTCTATATTGCATCTATGAAATAGTATTTGTCATTTTAACCTTTTTTTTCTGTGCTGTACTTTGTTCCATTTTTGTTATATAAAGTGCTTTTATACACAAAGCTGGAGTGGATTTCATGTAAAAAGCTGAAACCATGGTAACTCCAGTGATAGACCCCCTTTTTTGTTGCTTTAAATCCAAATGGTGACCTTTTTATTTGTATTTTTTAGGGCAAAATCTTCCCCAATAACTATATTAAATCTGCTATGTGTGACTACTTTAAAACAATGCTACATTAACAGTGTCACCAACACGTATAAATAACTAGAATGCGAGCTCAGGGGGAGCTTTTGTCTATTGTATATTCAAATATATATTCAAAAGAGGCGCACCGTTCTCCTCCATGGTGGGGAACACCTCCTTGAAATTCTTTTTCTTCTGTGGAGGGAGACCCTGCACGTACGACTGAGCCTGGAAGACAAAAAGATAACCCTTAAAACCCCGAACACGGATATTGACATTTGGAAATAAGCTGGGCTGTACTTATTGAGACGTTTTAATAGGATGTGTGCGGGCTGAAAACGCTCACGTCTTTACTCTGCATCTTCTGCACCAGGGAGGCGTCTGGCGTTCCGGTCAGGCGGAGGATCTTCTTCAGCTGGTCGATACCTGGGCCGGCTGGTTAAGGACCAACACCTGAGCTCACCGTGACGCTAGCAATGACCCCATAAGGGTACAGCTGTGTGTAAAACGCCCGGCTCATCCCTGTGAGCCTCGCAGCTCATCAGCTGAAACATTAAATCGGCTATAGGGTGGATAGGCCGTTCCCTGTGGATACTGTCGTGTCCTGGGAAGAGCACCTGGCCGGTGATCATTTCGGCCAGGATGCAGGCGGCTGACCACACGTCCACTGTGAGGGACGAAAGCAGAGGGGGGAAGTTTAAAGGGAGACAGAGAGTGGCGTGCTAGGGGCCCAGGCGTGGGGGGGGGGGGGGGGGGGCTGGCACCTGTCTGGCTGTAGTGCATCCAGTTGAAAATGATCTCTGGGGCTCTGTACCAGCGCGTCACGACGTAACCGGTCATCTCACTCTCCGTCTGTCTCGCCAGACCAAAGTCCAGAATCTGTGAGTAATGTCAGCTGGATCTTCAGTCTTTTACAACCCTGCCGTGCAGTTACGTTCTATTGTTCTGAATATTTTCTACGGAACTGACCTTTAATTCGCAGTTTTCGCTCACGGCGAGGTTTCCAGGCTTCAGATCCTAAAAGAGAATAGGAACAAAGACTCTGGTTTGTTTCTGTGAAGAGTGTGACATGAAATAATGTAAAAACTGGTTCTTTAACTTTAGAAATCCAAGACGGTGAATAATGATATACAAACCCGATGGATGATCCCTGCAGAGTGGATGTACTGTGGAAAAGAGGAGCACCTTTAAGTGGGAGACACACATGGAAGACTGAAAGTACCACAAAATGATGTCTAATAATGAAGCACAAATGAATGCAGGGATATAAAAACTGAGGAAATGCAATAGGAGAGTCAGATTAGAAGAGAACCACCTCTAAAATATAACCTAATATACTATACTATGCATGTAGGAGCCATTTATCATTTTCTGCGTTTATCGCCACCAGGGGGCGTATTTCATTTTGAGTTCTGTGTGTCTAATGAGGGATGGGTTACTTAAGGTCTACCATGATTGTGTTTAGGTTGAGGTTCGATGTCAGAATGTAGGTGAATTGCAATGGAAATAGCAACGATGGACATTATGCAAACAATAAACGACTTTGACTTCAACAGCCAACAACCAGTAGCCTAAAATACAGGATTTTAGCCGCTACAATGCATATACTGGGTCTTTTAAGCATCAGCCTCAGCGGTACCGGGGCCAAGGAGGAGAACGTCTCCTTTAACATCTGAATCTGCTCTTACAGATACAACCGAAATCTAAGATCTGAGCATGAGGTTATCGAGTAGACTGTTAATCCAAAGGGCTCAGACAAAGGTCCCTGGGCTTCTTCTTCTTAGATCCTAGACTTTGGCTTGGCTTTATTGATCACTTTGGGGTGACTCCCGGAGGGAAACTGAATTCCCAGCAGCTTATAGAGTGAGGAAGCAGCTGCTCTGCTCAGATAGCTAAAATATTTTTAAAAAAGAATAAGATCTGAGATAGTCTCGCTCTAACTGTGGTTGTCTTTGTTTTGGGACAAAAAAGACTGAAAGGATTAATGACAAAAGCTTCTGTCTGTGACCTCGGTGGACAGAAACATGATTGGTTTCAGCCTCAAACATGCCGACATAGCTTAAAGTCACAGGCACTCACCTTCAGCCCTCTGAGGAGCTGATAAAAGAGGTATGTGATGATGCGATCAGTTAATCTCCTCCTCTTCATTATGTGGCCCAGATCCTGGGCTACAAAGGGCATCACCATGTAACTACAGAGAGGCAAAAAGTCAAACGAGAGAACGTAAAATAGCCTGTAGGAGCTGAAGAGGAACGGCCACGCAAACCCATCAAAACAAACAAGAGCAAGCCTGCTCGTGCATGTTTCAGCCTCAGCTTCTCATGCACACGCACACACAGGGCCTCAACAAGCTGCAACAGCTGGCAGAAAAGTGTCGAACTCAACTCACAAAGTTTGGAATTTCTCCAACGTGGAGTCGGGTGTGAAGACGTCAAGGAGGCAGATGACCTACAGGGAGGACAGAAACAAGCTGTGAATCCCACCAGCGTGTAAAAAAGAAGGAGTTTCAGCACAACAGCCACAGAGGTCTACTAAAATGTTCAAATGTTTAGTGAATGGGAGCACGACGAACAGATTTTGGTCGAGTCGGAACAGGCAGCCGTTATCATGAAGGCCACGGCAGCAGAGACAGACCTGGTCTTGATTTAACCTTTTAAAGCCCGATCCAATTTAAAATAAAGAGAAAATAATTGTCTTTTTTGTTTGGCCTTTTAACAAAATATCAAACAATTAAATCAAATACATTTTTATCATTCATACTTTTTTACCGTGCAATAATTATTGTCATTTAGTTTTCTGCTCGCTGTTATCAGGTATATCTGATTGTGTAAAACATGTTTTTTTAGCAAAGTTTTCACCATTAAATGATGAAAAAGGTTTCAGATGCAAAAGATTTCAGTAACCGTATGTATCAAATATGATACATATGGCATTATTGAATTAAAGAGATAAAAGGTTTAAAGTTTAATACGAAATTGAGGTGAACTATGATGTTCCACGTGAGTCATGAGCCATGAGGGCTCCACCAACACACCAAACACTCTGCTCATCCGGGCCCCCGAAGAGATCAGAAAGCGTTTGTTGAACGGTCAACAAAGTCTGCCTATTGTCAGCGTTTTCTTCAAAGCAGGAGGAAAAACTCAATTTATATTACAGGTAGCTAGATGGCTTCCTTTAAAGGTGGGAGCGTGAAGCGGATGTTTAGTGAAAAAATGCTGGTAAAAACAAAGTTTCAAAAAAGTTAAAAAGTTGTTTTTTATAAGTAAATAGAAGCTGGTGTTCAAAACAGAGAAAACACAACCCCTGACATTTTGTGTTGGGTCTTAAAAATGTGAAAATGTGACTAACTGAGCCGTTTATGTAACTCTGGAGGGTTAGGCAGCCTTGTTTCCCATTAATGATGCTGCATTCACTGCTCCTCAGAGGCAGGGGCATTAAACTGTTTGTCTTCCATCAGTCTTATCATCAGCTGCACAGTTAGCTTAAAGGCTCTACCAGCATTCTGTTTTATGTCCAACTTCCAACTGCGTTTCAGTTTTTTTTCCCGGTAGGAAGTTAGAATTTCCGCTTTCTCCGATGTCACTGAATGCATCACCGGTGTAACAGAGTGGTTCAATATTTGTACAGTAGAGTACTGGTTTTACTGTTTAAAAAACTCAAAGAAAATCCCAGAAATGGAGTGAGAGGAATCGAGTTTTCACACAGCAGCCGAGCTGGCCCAACTCCATGATTTTAAAAAGCTGCGACTCAGGCATTCTTTAAAGCCCTTTGGTGTACAGTCTGAGATCTAAACACATTTTACTGCCTGCAATCTTATGCTATGATAACCAGGAACCAGAGCTCTCATGTTTTCCTTCCAGCTCTTAATATGTTCCAGTTTAAATGAATGAGAAGAAAAGAGTTGATTGTTGTGACAAAGTATCAGGTTATGTATCCTTTGAATAAAAACTTAATATGGAATATTATTATATATTATGATGGTATGTTTTTATAGCAATGATCTAATGAATTAAAACTATATTTCTAGACAGGAAGCTGCTTTTTAAAAAAATCATATCCACCTGTAAGCTTGAAGAAAACAGGAGGATATCTGGATTTCTCCACACAAAATGAAGAAGAATACCTTAAAGGGGACATGTGCAGAAAAGAAAACAACTTTTTCTGTTCTGTTCTTCTGAAGTCACCACAAAGTGTTTTAACATATGGCTCCAGCTTTGTTCGAGCGTTCCTCATTTAACAATAGAGTTGAATCGTCATCTTGTGATTAGACTTTTCGAACTCCGTCCAGTGATGTGTGGATAACGTGTGTTTCGACGGGCGGCTGAATGCTTAAGACTCTCACGTTTTCGTGCTGAATGTGGCGCAGCAGCCGCAGCTCCCTGTAGGCCCGTTTGGCGTGGATGAGGGACTGGAAAGGCCGGTGCAGCTTCTTGATGGCCACCTTCTCCTTCGTCTTTTGGTCGATGGCAGAACTAAATCAAATCAGCACACGGAATCTCACGTAACTTCAAATGGGTTGTTTTCCTTTGCATCCTACCAGAGATTTACATCTTGTCAACCGATTCCCCCTGGAGTCAAAGAATTGATAATGAATAATACAAAGTACCTGCCTTAAAACAGACAAACCACTCAGAAGGTCTGTTTGAACAAATCAAACAAACCAGGTACACACCCTAATCAGAGCAATCCAACAGGGCTGGACTTTCTGTAATTTATTGACCACATTTGATAAAACTGTCTATGAAATCTCCCCCGTCTACGGGCTATCAGCCGGCACAACTGGCTCTCGACCTCTTGGCTTCCTGGCGGGGCTTTTTCATGTTGGCGGTAGAGATTCCTGTCATTTTGGAGGACCTGCGTTGACTTGTCGACTGCCTCGGGCAGACAATAGTGCTCCTGTTAGCAGCTAGGAAAATAAAATCGGTCTCCTCGGACTGCCAGCACGGCAGTGGAATGCAGAAGTTTGTAGGAATAAACAGATCTGGACTCCTTAAAGAAATCATTTGTGAAGTAAAAAGTGCAGAAATCTCTCAAACTTCCTCTTAAATCTTTGGTATGTGATAAATAGTTCACTGTAGCTTAAAAAAATCACTACTCCATATAATTGAAAGACAAACATTGGGGGATTTTAGATGTAAAGTAACACTTTAAAAAGGCATGTCATGCCAATTAAACACTTCAGGGGATAGAACAAGATTAAAATGTGAGTATTAGTTACATGATTCTACTTCAAAAATCACTACTCCATATAATTGAAAGACAAACATTGGGTGATTTTAGATATAAAGTAACACTTTAAAAAGGCATGTCATGCCAATCAAACACTTCAGGGGATAGAACAAGATTAAAATGTGAGTATTAGTTACATGATTCAACACGAATAAAGGGTGGAAGTGTTGTTATTTGGGGCAGAAACGCCTGCAGACTGGTTCCACTCACCATACTGTCCCGTAGGCGCCGGAGCCCACCGGACTCAGGGCCGCGTACGTCTGCGGGACGTCCCACGTCGTTTTCTGGATCTCCTGCCTGTGGAAACCGGGTCTGACGGGCGAGTCTTTCCCCGGAGACTGCATGTCAGCTCTGCGGCAGGGTCTTTCAGCCGCTCACTTTCTTTTTTGTTTGTTTTTTACAGCCTGACAGGTGAGATAAGGAGGTGGAGGTCGGATCTGCACCCGGAAACGCCCCCAGCTCACTGCTGCCCCCCCCCCCCCATCACCTCACATGAGCTGTCCCCACAGCTGCTGCACAGCCAGCCCAGAAAACAAGTCCACTCATGTCAAAAAGACCCATTATTCACCCAGAAAGGACAACAAATGGACAGCACCTCAGTATTCAGCAGTCTAAAACCCTAACCTTATGATATACATAAATATATACATGTAAAACAATTATGGCTGCAGTGATGTATTGAAACATGCACATAAAAATTTCAATAGACCATAGAATTTAAAACCAGTGTTTGTGTGTATTTTCAAGAAGTTTAGAAAGCTTTAATACAACATGAGTTAACTTCTTAGGCAGCTTTTTCTTTTCATTTTGAAATAGTTGCAGGACATCCTTAAGCTTTTCTTTGGTTGTTGGCTCGCTGCCTTTTGTTTTGTCCGCTGTAAAGATGGTCCAGCTCTGCTTTAATAACGCTGAGGTCCAGGGATCTAGGGGGGATTCATCCCTCCGTAAAGCCCCTTGCAGATGATTTTCAGTCCACTTTTTGGATGTCTTTTCTCACATGAGGTCACACTAAAACCTATTCATCCAGTTTTGTGTTTAGTCAATGACTAATTGGCCTTACTTTTGTAGAAAGTGAACAGTAAGCACCTTACAACAGAGGTGATTCATATGTGCTGCTACTTTTAAAGTTAAACTGATAAAAGATTCACAAAACTTGTAATTCAATCAAATTTTGTTGAATGCTTTTCATGTGGTGTTTGTTATTCTTCTACTCACAATAAACTGTAATGAAACTATAAAAAGTCAATGATGAACTTGACACATAGAATATAACAAAAGAGAAAAATATCAAAAGCTTTAAAATATTAATTGCATAAAAAAATGACTGGTTATGTTGATATTCACTTTATTTAGCTTCTGGAAAAAAAAAAAAAAAGTAAAGTTAAAAAAAAGTTTTAAGCAAAAACAAAATCAAAATAATTCCCAGTGAAAAATCACTGACTTGGGGCTGCATCCAAACTACAACAATTTTTGAGAATACCTGACACAAATGTAATCATTTTAATCACAGCTGGATTCTGGCACATTTGAAAAGGTGCAATGCAAAATAATGCGGATATTGTCACGCACTATTTATACATGGGTTCATGTTTACACTAGACTTTACTGGCTCAGTATAAAAAAAAAAAAGTGAAAATATATGTAAAGGATGCATTTGGATGCCTTAATGTTTCATTTTCATTCTGAATGGTAAACTTTGAGGTGGATATATATGAACAGTATGAGCTGCATTTCTGCTAAAAAGAGAGAGTCACTGGAAAATGTGACTCATCAACTCAGGAAGATCTTGTAAAATTAAAAACATGGATTACCTTTTCTCTCTGGTTTTACATGACACTTCTGAAACAAAGCTGCATAGAAACCAGCAGAGGGCAGTCACACCTCATCCTGGTTTCATTCTCACAAAGGAGCTTCTTGTCTTCAGAGTACAATTGATTTAGACTTTAATAAGAATAATATCTTACTGACTGGTAAACACACTTCAGAGTTTTTTCCAGTTATTCATAGGCATTGATTAAAGACACTGTGGACTAAGAAGCCCAAATCAATTTCGATCGGTGCTGAATGGCCAGAAAATATGCTTTCTGTTGGGCAGTCGGACCAAAACACAAGTTTGACCTATAATTACATCCCTGTTTCTGCTCAGAATAGCAGGAATTTAAGGCAGAACTTTGCATTTACCCACAAAGGAAAGTCATCAAAGGTAGAACAACTAGCCTGAGGAAAGTATTGTGTGTTGTTTATCATGTATGGAGCTCCTGATTTCACTGACTGTCATTTAAACATTCTTCTTCTTGTCAATTAAGTCTAAAGGCAGTTTCAGTCCTCTGAAAAATCCTTTTTTACTATGAGTTTGGGCCAGTGTTTAAATGAGGTGTCTGTATTAAATTAAATTAAAATAAAATATAATGGAGATAATACGTTATTTACTGAAAGATTTGTGTCCCAGTTAAAAAATTTTACACATTCATGAAAATGCCATTGAGAGACTGATACCTACCTACCTACCTACCTACCTACCTACCTACCTACCTACCTACCTACCTAACTAAATACGTTAAAAAAAGAAAGTATGAACAGTAATAGTGTGATATTGATTATAGGTAAAGTATAACTATACTACTAGGTTGATTCACTCGGGTTTTCCTTTGTGTACTTCAGCTTTTCGCTTTCTTTCCCAGGTTTTCTGCACCTTTGGACACCTTATGTTGAAGGCAGCTTCTCCCACTTCCGGTCTGCTCGCGCCTCAGACGTTGATGCCGCTCAGCTGTCTCGTGCGCTAACCGTTGCTGAACGCTCTCTCTCGGTCGCGGACGGCTGCCCGACCCGAACAACGGCAGGCGGGGACGGACCGCGGTTCTGCGGGCAACACCGAGCCTCACCCACGCTCCCTGGACTCCCGAGTTTTTTTTACATTTTTTTAAAAGTCCGTTGGAGTTTTCTTTTCTACTTTTCGAGCCGCTACTTTCCATAAAAAAAGCAGCGCCGGGTTTCTCTCCTGTGGAGCCGGACCCCATCAGTTAGCAACGTGGATGTGAGACTGGATTTAAATCCTCATCATGGACGACTGATTCATCCGCTTTATACCGAACAGGTATGCTCAGAACCGTCCTTTTTGCACCCAGTTTTGATGGTATGCCCATAGAAATGATGGCAAATGTTTCTTAGTATTTGTTTTAGGCTTCAATGGGGATTAAACCCCACTTTATACGCTTTGTTGCCTACTTCTGAACAGCAGAGCCAGTTGTTTACGCAGCTTTTATCGGTGTGTTTGTGTTTTCCATAATGATGGGTCACATAATTGCGACCCTCAGCCCACTCAGACGGATCTCCACGGTGGATCCACGCTGGGGCGACCGAGTACACACTCTTTTGTCAGCTGATATAGGAATGTGTGTGAGCCAAATGTCAAATGCCTTGCTCACCTGCTAGCTGTCTTCTGCTTATGCACAGCTGCATATTTATCGCCTCATTTAGGAGTCAGACTCGACCCACTCTGTTCTCCTCCCCTGAACTCAACAGGAGTCCTCCAGCTGATTATTTTTCAGGAATTTCTGGGTGATGGCTGTGGGCGATGTGTGTGCCATGTGGTGAAATAGGAGGAGGAATGAAACAGCTCCTTATCCCTTTGATAAAGCCTGAAATGCCACAGCAGTCCAACAGGAATGCTCCTCAGAGTGGCTGCGGTTCTGTTGAAATGGCTAAAAAAGGAAGATGGAGTTCAGCTCGGCGGCGGCAGCAGGTTGCCCTGTCCTTTGCCAGCTGTCAGATTTAATCTAGCAACATGAGAAACAGTGCAGAAACGCATCAGAACCAAAGCCCCAATGCAAACTGTTCTCCAGGCCTCACTGAGGAGCACTTAAGTGTGTTGGCATGGGAGATTTCCCCTCTGTTTCCAAGCTCACGTGTTTTTACTGCCTTTTTTTATACTCCGCAAAGTTTGTAAAGATTCTTGTGGTCGTGCAGTCCAGCCTTGAACCTCCGTCATGTAGGCCTTAGTATTTAGACATTTTTGAAGACCTGGCCATATGCCTGCCCCAAAGAATGATATTGCATTGCTTCCCCTGGACTGAGGGGGATGAATGGACGTGTGCTGTTATGGTATTATCCGAAACAATGTGTGGGAAAGTTGGACTTCTGTCCAGTTTCACATCTGGGCTTGGTGCAACATGTGTGGAGCCACATAAAATGAGTATACCTGCATGAAACTCAGTTTACCTAAAATATTCATTTTCATGCCATCTAGAGCCGCCACGCCTGCCATTTTGCTGGTACAAGCTTAAAGTTTTCAATGAAACTTTCTCAGCTACTTGTTGGGTTTAGTCTGTAACATCATTAAAGTAAGGTTTGATATAAAAACCACTTAACTGCGGGCTGAAAATCAGAATTCAAGGTCTGAAATGTTTTTTTACATGCACTAAGGTCGTGTGTTCTTCAACATAATTATGATAATTTTCTAGGATGAGCACAGTCCTCTGCAGAAAATCAGTGCATTGCAGTAACATAGACAGTAGTTGGGTAGCACATTTCTTTGTTCAGATATTATGATTGAAACAAAAGTGTGAAAAAAGGGGTTGTATGTGAATCACGATTGCTTGTAATGCTAATGCAAACACAGTTTTGTGGTCTAATTTGCTTCATTGATCAAACTCATCATCTGAAACGGCGTCTCTGGGTTCTGCATTGTGGTAGTTTTTGTAAGACTGCTTATTTATTTGGTCTACAGGGAGTAACTGGAAACATCGCCTGACATTTCGATCAAATTCAAGTCCAGTGTAGCTCAGCAATCCCACCGACCCAATTTCATGGCAGATCATACAGGTTTATCATCTGCTTTAGCCCACATTGCAAAATGTTACAGTTTCACAAAGAAACGCAGCAAATATTAGCTCTGCTTACCTTTCCCTTTCATATCCGTTGTTTTGTACGAAAGGAGAGCTTCAATTTTTGTACATATTTGACATGTACCTGCTGGTTGTGTGAAAATGTGACTAAATGACTGATTGTGGATTTTGATTGAGATCTAGGATGGAGTTATTTAGTGGGTTAGCTAGGTTAAGACATCTCCTGCCAGTTTTCCAATTGCCTTTTCCTTCCTACCTGGTTTCATTCTTTCTTACTTGAATCTGAAGATTATTTTTAGGGTTTAGAAAGTGCACTCATTACAGGTGCACGTTTGGATGCCCTTGGGTCACAGACTTCTCTGTCATATTTTATTTAAGTAAGAGTACTTGACAAGTATTTTTGGCTGTTACTACACTGCCATGAAAAACAAATCTGTGTGATCCCTGTGCATGTACAGCCATACAGCTTGTTATGATTTTAACAACCAATGAAAAGTTCAAGTGAGTTAAGTATACATACAAAACTTATTTGACCTTAAAATGAAGGTGTGTGAGATGTGTATTTATTTAAAGAGATAAAAACCT